AGCTAGGAGTTTTTTTATACGGCTAGTTTGAGGCATACCTTAGCAAGGCGTCTGCCAGAGAGTTCGTGTGCTAGTGCGTGAAGTCTAGGAAGAAACAGTTGATGTTCGGCTGTGGGGTTCTCTCTTGTGTCTTCCTTCCCCCCTATGTATAGTTTTTTCGTAATTACAGAAGTTGCCTTAAATATCTCCCCATGACATTGTATTATATGGTATATACAGTATGTATGCTAATATTGTAATAAAATACACACGTTTCGAGTATATATATATANCGTGTGTGTGCTGTGTGTGCGACATGGCAGTGTATTTGGCTGTGTTGCGTCTCCGTTGCGTGCTGTTGTGTCGCGTTTGCCGCGTTGCACGTGTGTGCTGTGTGTGAGTGGCATTTGTGGCTGCGTGCGTGTGTGTGGTGTCTGCTAGTGTGGTGTGTTGTGTTGCTGTTTTAAATACACATTACGCTACGGTGAAAGGGAATGACAGTGTGATATTAAACGCGTGAAGCAATATGAACTGTGAATAGTTTTATTTTAAGATGACTCTCTCGCTGGGCAGGGAGCCTTGGAGGGAGGAACTTGGCGTTGGGGGAGGGCCCTCGAGAAAAGGAAAGCTTTGGTGGGAGCCTTCGGTGGGAGGGGGTCGGAGGGAGAATCAGAGGAGGCGTGATTAGGTTTAACTCTGACATCGAGCCGATGATGTCGCCACGAGTGCCTCTGACACGTGTGCTACCGCTAATGCCCTTCCGTTCCCTAGCGGCGGCTGAGGTGAGGGACATGCTATACATAACTACACAGAGTGATCGGGCATACACTATATTATATGTATATATATATATATATATAATATATATATATATATATATATATATATATATATGGATAGAGAGCGAGAGAGAGAGAGAGAGAAATAGAAGACAGAGATTGAGACGAAGAGAAGAGAGAGATGAGAAGACCAGAAAGAGAGAGAGAGAGAGAGAGAGAGATGGGGTTGGCGAGAGAGACGAGGGTAGAGCAAAAGAGTAGGGCAGGGGGGAGAGAGGCAGAGCGACGAGGGAGACTGGCCGGGAAACATACAACCTGATGAGGGAGAGAGAGAATCGGGAGCAAGACTGCTCGACAGAGTGAGACTGCAGAGCAAGGACAGACTGACGACGAAAGCCGAAAAGCAGAAAGAGAGCAAGAGAGACGCGTAGAGAAAATACAGCTAGCTATAGACAGATAGCAGATTAGCAGATAGAGATATGAGAGATAGCGATGAAGAGACAGATGAGAGTACTGAGAGAGAGAGAGAGAGTTAGAGAGAGAGAGAGAGAGACGAGAGCACCCGGAGAGACGAGAGACCGACGAGAGGTGGAGGCAGGAGACTGAGGAGAGAGAGAGAAAGTGCGTGATCGTGAGATAGATGAGACGGGGGAGAGAGACTGAGAGAAATGGAGACATTTAGAAAGAGAGAGGGGGAGAGGGGCGAGATGGGAGACAGCACAAAGAGAGCGAGAGAGACTGAGTAAGAGAAAGGAGAGAGAGATTCAAGAGAGACTTGACGAGAGAAAGACTAGAGAGAGCAGCACAGAGAGGACGCGAGAGAATATGATGAGAAAGAGCCGAGAGAGAGGAGGACGTGAGAGGATGAGAGTCTTGCCGCCCCCGCCTTTCCTCGCTTCCCCCGTCCGCTCTCTCTGGGTCCTAAGTGTTGCTCCCCTGAGCGAGAAGACCGAGGACTGTGGCCTCGGACCGTAGGTACTATGATACTTCAGTGCGTATACAGAGGACTTGTGGATTCTTAGTTTTGATGGATATCGCCGCACGTAGGCCTCGCGCACTCGGTGCTCGCTGCGCTCGTTCAGGGAGACGCGGGTTGCAGAGAGCGAACGCCAATAACACGAGTTTTCTTTTGTTAAAGATGTTGTTGTGATAATACGCAGTGTGTTAGTCTCCACGTGCATGGGCGTTGCGTGCGTGCGTGCTGTGCGTCGCGGTGCGTGCGCCTGCATTGCTAAATATTTTTGATTATAGGGTGTTACGCGCTGTCTTCTATCCTGTAGTTTCGACTATTAAGCTTTGTGATTGATGATGATGATTGATGCTGACTAGCATGACCGATGCGACGATGCACGACAGTTGATGTTGATCGGCTTGGTGATGCTGATTTATTCGTTTTGGATGATGCTACTTTGATGATGTTGCTGGTGTTAATGTGACTAGAATGCAGTAGGTACACTTAATCCTATTTTATGCTGTATTTTTTACGGTAGGCGCGGGAACCATAACTATGCGGTGAACGCCAACCGCAGGCGAACATTTTTTAGTATGTAAAAAAATTATCTATATTTTGTATTTCTTTGGGATATGCAAACGGAGCAGCACCTCATTTAGATGGGCTAGGAGTTTTTTATACGGCTAGTTTGAGGCATACCTTAGCAAGGCGTCTGCCAGAGAGTTTTGGGTGTGCTATGTGCGTGAAGTCTAGAAGAAACGGGTTGCATGTTCGGCTTGGGGTTCTTCTTGTGTCTTCCTTCTTTTTCCTTTCCCCCTATGTATAGTTTTTTCGTAATTACAGAGGTTGCCTTAAATATCTCCCCATGACATTGTATTATATGGTATATACAGTATGTATGCTAATATTGTAATAAAATACACAAGTTTCGAGTATATATAATATATACACATGTGGTTTATATTTTTTTATTTGAGTTTTGATGCGGAATATTACATTTTGATATATTCACATGGCAACGAAGCAGTCAGTAACTTGTTCTGTTATATGGACTATATAATTTATTAATAATAAATAATATATAACGTTCAACAAAAACCATACACGACAAGTATCTAAATTCTAACATAAATATTCAACGCGCATTTAAGTCTATTTTCTATCTTTGGTACGATATATATATATTTACTCGCCTCTCTGGCGCCATCTGTCATGGAGCTTGTCTCCGTTTCTTCTTCCTAACTTCCATACTCTCCTCTCGCGGATGGTATCGCCCATGAACAGTCGAGCGTTAAAAATCTTTTGGAGGAAATTCGCTGCATTTCGGCTCCAACTTTTTCACTCCCCGGGGCACAATATGTGAATTTATGCCTATAATACACGCGCGTGCGACCACACCCGCGTGTGCGCGTCCGTTAGTGGGTGTGTATGCA